CATAAGTCAGAATGCACTCTGGCATTTATATAGCAATGGGCATGATACAATATAGAATGAATAAATATGAAGATTTGAAAGCCCTCTTCTTCTGTACCTGCTTTCTGGGTTTTCTGGGGTATGTATACAGTTGTTATGCACTCCTCTATTAAACGTGGAGTGTCAACAAAGTCCAGCTACTCGAGTTAAGTCAGTAAGAATCTTCTTACCTGGGCTCCCCAGAAGTGTTGGAACAGAAATGTCCTCAGCGCCTAACACACTTGTCTAGTTGGGCATCAGCAAATGCATGCTGTCACAGGCCTGCCACCATCTCACCTGTTGACAGGTTTTCTTCATTTCTTCTTCCAGGAAGCCATGCCCTGTCATACCATGTTGGACATGGGCATGTGGAATTTTATAAAAGTTCCAGACTCTTTGAGTGGGCTGGGCTATGGTGGCTTCTGAGGTAATGACTGCAAAGTAATTGCCACAGAATATCTTAATCGGACCAGAGCCCTGGTTACTTTCAGATACTCTCAAGAGAAGACATATATGAGGTTTCTCTCTACATTTAAAAATAAACAGGAAAAACTAAGTTGAGTACTAAATATTAAAAATACTTGGGGGTAATAAGAAATTGAAGTTTATGATTTAACCAAAACCAAAATGCATTGTATCCCAAGATTAGTAAGAGCTGTTATTAACAGTGTTAACTCCCGGATTGTCATTGCTCAGGGATGGGTTGGATTAAAGTTCACATAGCTAAAGCCCTGAGTTCTCCACTGACTCTACTCTGACCACCAAGCTCGAGCCAGGACTGGGCTACATCCATCTGACAGATTTAAGGAGCCAATGTAGCTGTGGCTTGGCCATGACCCAGGAGAGAATGTAAGGAAAAGGTTGGGCAAGGTTAGCAGGCACCGCTTATCCAGGACTTCACAAATCCTTTAAGGAATGTAGGTTTTATTCTGAAAAGCACTGGAGTATGAGTCATACCAGAATTACTAAACAACAATCCCAACAATCCCTCACTTTTTTTTCTTTTTTAAAGTTTTTACTTGTGCTCTGGAGGAATCCTAAGGAGCTCTGGTAGCGTAGTGGTTACGAATCGGGCTGCGAACCTTAAGGTCAGCGGTTCGAAACTACCAGCTGCTCCGCGGGAGAAAGATGAGGCTTTCTACTCCCGTAAAGATTTACACCCTCGGAAACCCTATACAGGGTCGCTAGGGTCGGAACCGACTCGATGGCACATAACAACAACAACAACTGGAGGAATCCTACTTCCAGCTATGGAAATTTATAAATTGACAGCTTCCAGGAATCTGCACCTGAGACTTTGCTCGGTACCTCTCAGGGAACACAGAGGGGTCCTGGTAATGGGCTTGCCACGTACCTTGGCTCTGTGGACACAAGTGACTCATCTTGAATCCTTTGAAAGCCAAAGGGGGGCTCCAGAGACTAGTGGTAATAATCCTGCTGTGAGGCTAAGAAGGTAGAAGGCGGCCTGGGGGCGGGGATTTACCAGGCTGCGTTTGGGATGTGGTCTCTGCAACTGAATGGCGGGAAAAGGCCTGACAGAAGAGTTTACCTTAGCCTGGGGCAGAGGAATTTTTGTTGAGCATCTCTGTGCCCTGAGCTGTATGTACACTGGGCTCCAAATGACGAGTCACATGCAGCCTCGAGTTGCTCAAAGCCTGCGTGGTTCTTTTTGACGCTAGCGAATAGGATATGAGAAGGCGGGCTGAAAGGGGCAGCGTAAAAGAGGTCCTGGCACATCCTGGGGATCAAAGAAGGCTCCCCAGAAAAGGTGACGCCTTCAATTGGAACTTGGAACTTGAAGGACAAACAGAAGTAGGCAAAAGGAGAAGGAAAACACACCTATACAAGGTCCCAAAGTCGAAAGAAGGCAGTTTGCAGACTGCTAAAACGCGCGCGGGCATGGGAGAGAGGGAAAGAACAGGAACCTCAGAGACCTCTTCGTTCACTTCTATCAAAACAGTGATGGTTCTCCGGAAGACTTCCTGTTACTCAGGGCAGGCACTTTCGCCTAAGGCTGGCGCTGTGCGTGCAAGGAGTAACTGCATCGCGTAAAGAATCCCATACTTGGTGTTTGCCAGGATTCTCTACGCAAATGTAAAAGGGGGTGAAGGTTATGTGCGGTGGAGTCAGTTCCGACTCATAGTTACCCCGTACAGAGTTTCTGAGGCTGTAAATCTTTACGGGAGCAGAAAGCATCATCTTTCTCCCGCGGAACAGCTGGTAGTTTCGAACTGCTGACCTTGCGGTTCGCAGCCCGATTCGTAACCACTACGCTACCAAAGCATAGTGGGTAGACCTTGTCTTAGGGACATCGCTTGGACCAAGTCTGTTGGTTGTGTTTTGGCGACCTCTATCCTAAGGTGACCGAACCTGCTGGTTCTCCCAGGGGCCAACTTTCTGGGACATTTTGTCCCGGAGGAACAACACAGCGCCGTCAGGACTAGAGGCAGCACCAGGTCAGGCCCTGGGAACTCCTGCGACGAGTTCAGCTCTGAGGAGACTGAGATAAACCGGTCGACACCCGACACTGCGTAAGGGGAGCCCGCGGCTGCGCCTTTCTCAAGGAAACGCGAGAATACTGGGCTAGTAAACGCAGCCCTCACCTGTGTGTTCACTCTCCCAGCTCTGGCCTCTAAACCAAGACTCACTGCGGGGACACCAGCTCATTCTGGAACAACTGGAAATCAGGTTGTTTCCTGCCCACAAACTGTAACTCTACTGTCTTCCGTTCAATTATTGGATCAAGACCTGGGACTGAGCGCAAGAGGCTTTAAGAGAAGTGCGAGTCAGGAGAGGAAGAAAATAAAAGGAACTGAAGGAGGATACGCGCCTGCCCAGAGCTGCCTCGAGGGAACTCAGAATGGGTTAATCTGGAGACTGAGAGGAGAGAAAGAGTTTGGAATCCTATGTCAGATCCTGTGTCAGCTGTTTCCAAGGGGTTGGTTTGCGTTAACCCAAACTTCTAAGTGTAGGTTTTATGGCCCTAAAGGTTAAGGAGTGAGTGTGGTAGGTCCCACAGACACTAGACCTTTCTGCAAACATACTATTTTTTTCTCTTTCAGGTGAAACTCCAATTGCGTGGTCCCTGGACCTCCCTTACCTAGCGGGCTAAGGATAGTGCAGGGGTAATCCAACTGGCTAGGGGTTGCCTGCGATTCTCAAAAAACATCCAGGGAGTAGACTGAAAACAGCGCCTACTTCCACGGACCCAAAACTAAATAAAACTTTCTGCAGAGAAAACAAGGGTAGAAAGCAGGACCAAGGTTCCTTGGGAAAGGTTGGGCTGGGGCTGGAAAATGGCGCTGTTGGCTTTGGATGTTCCTCAAGGGAAGCCGTTTCTCCGATTCCAGCCTTAGAGAATCAAGAGCAGGCATGAGGATCAATACTCAGTGCTGTTTATCTGCGGGACTGGTCCGGCGAAGGGTTCGAAGATTCGTTCCAGCACCATCAAATCCTACGATGTGCCGACGCGTATGGTGGGGAAAAAATAACGGGTTTTCGAATCCTATACACCTGGCTTGGAATATGGGCACCACCACTGCCCGTTGGAGTCACTTTTGGCAAGTCGCTTATTATTTCCCGACCTCAATTTCCTAATCTGCAAAACGGAAATCATATCCACGTCTCTGAAGAATGCATTAAGGGTAAGAAATTTCACACATCTTTCTCACTGTAAAGAGAAACAAAGTCTTAGTCTCAAACTTGATACACTACATGCTAAAGAAAGACCTGCTTGTACGTTCGTTGCCTACTTCCCCTACCCCTACCCCTCAGGTCCAGGAGAGCGAAACGCGCTCCTAGCGAGTCCTCCCCCAGAGAGACTGGTGCAAAAGCCAATAAGCCCAGAACACACGCCAATCCCACCAGGCCTGGGACAATAGTTTCCATTTAATAAATATTTCCCCCAAGGGCATTTCACATCAGGCAGGCAATTATTCAAAGGAAACAGGAGCGCAGGTTGGCTCTGCTAGTTATTTCGACCTCTTTACCCCAAGAATACTCATTTGACTCGAGAAAACGAGCTTCTTAGCCTCTCTGGGTGGGAAGAGGTGCCCAGGGACACACCGACTCTGGGTACTAATATAGCCTTAAGACTACGCAAGGGCAGCTGCTGGAGGACCGGCCTCCAGTCTGCACTTCCCGTTTAGAGAGTTGTGAAGGAAAAGTTGGAGGCTTAGAAATTGTAAATAATAGCAACAGAAATAGGAATGGCGACCGAAATTGTTGTCCTCCTCTCTGAAAGTGAAGAACAGGTCACGATGATCTCCCAGATTCAACAACCAGGATTTGAAACCTCTGCATTGCTGGACGCAGTGCCTGGAGGTATTGGCTTGGAGCTTTTGCCTGCGGGACCCAGAGCTTTGCCGCGTCCCCTTTCCCCACCCCACCCTCTCGCCCCACTCCCCGCGCTATCTGATCTCCAAGATCCGGGATGGTGGCTGGGCGGCTGGAGCGTCCCTTGAGAGAGTGCGGCCTACGCACCGCCGAGGATCTGACTCGAAAGTTTATTTTACTTTTTACCTTGAGTTTGAAAGGCGGGGGAGATGTCCTTGCATTTCGTGGCAAGACTTGTCTTATTTATCAACACTTTTTCTTGGCTCGCTTCCCTTTGCAGCCCCCCTCCCCGATGCTTTGTATTCGAAGCCCCAAGTCTCCCTGGCACAACTGGGAAAGGAAGCAGGAGGTGCGAAAAGATTTATTTGCTGATAGTGCGAGGGATAACGTGGAACCTAAGACCCCAGTTCTGGGCTAGACGTTATGTTATTGCCCACCTTCTCTCTGCCGGTCGCTCTCTCCCTCACACACCCGCAACACCCAGTCTCGCTCCCTCTTTTCTCCGCGCCTCCGTGGCAGGTGCGCCCCCTCGCCTACTCTGACGCTGATTGGGCGTCCAGGTTGGGGAGTCACCGCCCAACGCTTATGTCAGAGTGCGTGCCGTCCGGGCCCACCTCGCCTTTGAACTTCGCCGCTTTTGGCTCTCGTTCACCAGCCTCCCCGCATTCTCAGCCAGGTGCAGTTCTAGGCGAGGCAGCTTCGGGAAAGCCACGAGAGGAGGGGCAGCCACGGCCGGAAACGCAGAAAGAGAGAAGCAAAGGACAGAAGGCGAAGGTGGAGAGGGGGAGAAGGAGGAGCTTCCTGCCCTCGCCAACAAATTACCTGATTGCTTAATATATCCGAGACTCCGGTACTTGGGCCCCTACCTCTGTTGCCCGTAGCCCCCCAGCCAGCAGTCCTCTCCTCACCCGCCTTTCCTGTTTCAACTCGTCCCCCAGGGATTGCCTGGGCGCCTGGACTGGCATGATCAGTTGAACTTTGCGGGGCCAGCGCTTCTCCCCGGCTTCCCCCCAGAGGCGCCGAGGCCAAACGAGCGCAGTACAGACTCAGGACGGATAAACAGACGTCCAACCGCGCCCAGGCTTACCTGAGGATCCCCTACACCCCTAGTTCCCGCCCGCGCAGCCGCCGGGACCATGTCCAAACCTTCAGACCACATCAAGCGGCCCATGAACGCCTTCATGGTATGGTCCCGGGGCCAGCGGCGCAAGATGGCCCAGGAAAACCCCAAGATGCACAACTCAGAGATCAGCAAACGCCTAGGCGCAGAATGGAAGCTTCTGTCGGAGGCAGAGAAGCGACCGTACATCGACGAGGCCAAGCGGCTGCGCGCCCAGCACATGAAGGAGCACCCAGACTACAAGTATCGGCCGCGGCGCAAGCCCAAGAACCTACTCAAGAAGGACAGGTATGTCTTCCCCCTGCCCTACCTGGGCGACACGGACCCGCTCAAGGCAGCCGGCCTGCCCGTGGGGGCCTCCGACGGCCTCCTGAGCGCGCCCGAGAAAGCCCGGGCCTTCTTGCCGCCCGCCTCAGCACCCTACTCCCTGATGGACCCTGCGCAGTTTAGCTCGAGCGCCATTCAGAAGATGGGTGAAGTGCCTCACACCTTGGCCACCGGCGCGCTGCCCTACGCTTCCACCCTGGGCTACCAGAACGGCGCCTTCGGCAGTCTCAGCTGCCCCAGTCAGCACACGCACACGCACCCGTCCCCCACCAACCCCGGCTTCGTGGTGCCCTGTAACTGTACGGCCTGGTCTGCCTCCACCTTGCAGCCCCCCGTCGCCTACATTCTCTTCCCCGGCATGACCAAGACTGGCATTGACCCTTATTCGTCAGCCCACGCCACGGCCATGTAACCTCCCGCCCGCCGCCTGACCTGAAGGGCGGCCTGGAAGCCGGGTCTGCACCCAATCTTTTGCGCCTAGTCCATGCCCGCTGACTCTTCAGGGTCAGCCCTGCCACCGCCCCCCTACTCCACCCCAGACTCTGCCTCTCTCTTCCAAGGGGGGAAGGGAGGGGCGTTCCCCACCCCCCGGACCGAGGGCGCAGACAGGTGCCAGAAACTTGCAAACGTTATGACAGCTACACAGCTGCCCTTACCAACTGTCCCAAAACAAACCTTCGACTGTACCCCCTTTGGACAAAAAAAAAAAAAAAAAAGTAGGCAGTTTTGCTTTATTTATGTCCCGTACTCTTCCCGGATGGGCTTTGGACTCTGAATTCCCAGATGCTGGTATTATACCTAGAATATGCATATATATTTTCCTTTGCACCCCGAAGAAAAAAAAGGAGCTGTGTCTCTGTTTGCTATCAGACACAACTAGACGCCATTTGCTCTTCATGTGTGTGGGGTAAGGCTAAAAACTTTAAAACTAAAGAAAGGAAAACATTTCTATTTAAAACCATGTTATGATAGTGTTTGCTTCTTTAAAGGGAAAACTAAAAGGACCCACATGGTCATTTGTGTAAAGCAGTGCTCCTAGAGACCTAAGTTTACTTTTAGACAGGATGTCGGGTTATGAAGTCAGGAAGTAGAAAGTGAACAAAATGAAAAGAATAAAAACATCCTAAATGGTTATAAATGTTTTTGACGATGTCTTGGAAATGTACTTACTTAGAAGGATTTTATCTCCTTACTCTGTTCATTTGTTGAACAAAGACGTTTTGAATAAAGACAATCTGTCATCGCAAACAGTAACCTTTAATGTGCCTAAAATCTGAAGTCTGGAGGCCAGGTTGGCGGAGCCTGGGAGTTGAGTCTCGCGGAACCTGAGAGATCAGGGATCGGCTCTAGCAGTCGAGGCTAGCGGCTGGCCCGCGTGGACCCGCTATGGTGACCTGTGAGTCGGGTCTAAAAGGGAGCAGTCTGGCATCTTTCCCGACCGCGCCCTTTAATCCTCTTTTTTGCCTTTAGAGTCAGGGCAAAAGTATGGGTCCCTGGAGCATCACCCCTTCAGCGCATTACTCACTAAGTGGTCCAAGTGTTCAGACCACTTCGAGGAACCAATGATCTAAGACAAAGGTGGCCAAGACATGTGAGATTCGGGTGCGTTTTCTTTTATTAAACTAAACTCCAAAGGACCGGAGAGACGCCCTGAGAAGCAGTTGCACGCCAAGCACCGCGTCCTGCTGAGGATGTTTGGGTTCAGTGCAGAGAGGGAAGAAGGTGGGACCGATTTTTTCAGGAGTTTGGAAACGCTGCAGTCGTCCCCAGTTTTGTTTTGGTTTTTAATTCCTGGAGACGCAGAAACCGCTGTGCTAGAGCTCCACTCAGTCTGTAGGATATTTTGTACTTTGTAGGCTACTTCCCGCAGGAAGCAAAGGTGGGAGGAAGAAGTAAAAAGTATTTTTTAAATTAAAAAAACGAGGGAAAGAGTCCTTTTCTTTCCCCTTTGGGGTGAATGCTTAAAGGTTGCTATTTTTTCGTGGGGCTAAGGGACAGTGTTGTCATCCAGACAACTCTTTTGGAACTTGTTCTCAAAATTTAAAGGTCCGCATGCCCCCACCCAATCTTTTCCCCGAAAGCTGCGTTCATTCGTGTCTTTCATAGGTCTCTTGCTTTTTCCACTTGCTTTGATATGTTGCAAAGGAGGTGGGGGTGCCGTCCAGGGGCTTGTCTGCTTATTGCTGTTGAGGGATTTGTGCGTTTGCTTTTACCTTTTCCAAAAGGAGTCGTGGCTCAAGGCGCACAGAAACGTTGTCAACGGACACCAAGCTGAAACCCACGGATTAGCATAATATCCTCAAAACAATTAGGAGAGTTTGAGGTGCTATTTGGAGCCTATTCATCCGAACCCCTTTGTCAAGGGGGGATTTTCATTATTAAAAAAAAAAAAAAGTTAGTTGTCCATCTGGCTGAGCTGAATAGCAAAGTGATCCGTGTTGTATATGCTTTTCTCATTAAGAGCTCTTTTGAGACCCATGTTAGAATTAAATGGTATAACACAATTAACATACACGGGCATTGAATAGGAGGGGACGCCTATAAATAATAGATAGATAAATAAATGAGCGATCAGGCGAAAGTAAACAAAGGCGGACTGGGGGGAGGCCGGGCGGGCTGCGCCACGCTTACTTAGCATCACAAAACCCTCTTACAAATCTAGACAATTAGGAAGTGACTTGCCTCTGGTGGCCGTCCGGTATTGGGGCTCTAGGCGCGAAGGGAAGGCCCCTCCTCCCGTCCCCTGGGAAGCCGAGGAGGCCCGGGGCGGAGGCTCCTCGGTTTCGCTGTCTGATATAACCCCAACTGACAGTCCTGTCAGCCACTCTGATCTCTCTCATAGCTCAGTGTCCCTTAACATCTACTAAGATGAAGCTTACAGGGGTCTGGGTGTCTCCCCACGGAGCCCGGCGCACGAGCGCCCTGGGCACACACAGCATCCCAGATCTGAGTGGAAAATCCGCGCGCACAGGTCCACCAGGGGCCCAGCAGACTCAAAAGCCGGTTTAGGCTGAGATGGGGTACTAGGCTAGTCCGAGTGGGGAAGGCCTCGGGCGACAGCAGAAATGGAAACTGTCGCCAGGGTACCAGACGGCGTCTGGTCATAGCGAATCCCGAGAACAGCTCCAGGAAATTGGAAAGCGCTGTAACGGGGCGCCGGGACCGGATGACTGAGACCTCTTTCCAGCCTAAAGTGGGCGGGAGGTCCAGCGGGTGTCCTGGGACCTGACGCCGCAGACCTGGCTCAGGTCGTTTCTCTCCATCACACGGGGTCTTCTTCCTTCCAACGTGGCTTTCTCCAGCTGCCTGCCCTCCTTAGACCTGCCCCCAGCCGCAGCCCTGGCAGGGGCCAGCCGCCGCCTCGCCTGCTTGTCCCGACAGGCTGCAGAGCTTCAGCCTCCGTTCGCTGCCGCGATTCGCTCAACAAACAGTCGAAATCCTCCTCGTCACGCCGCTGACAGGGGCAGATTACTGACTTTGAAGTCAGGCGCAGACAAAAAGAAATTCCCTGGGGGGTGTAGGGGGGAAGCAGCCCCTGTCAAACCTGTTTGCTCACAACTGTCTCTTTCTTTCAAGAAAATCATTAAAGCAAACCTGTAGGGAGAGGAGCGCCCCGCCCGCCACTAGTAGAGAGTGGTTTTCTCCCGAGCGAGCGCCGCGCAGCCCAGCCAAGAGCAGTCAAGAGTTGTGCTGACCGACTCTTGTAATCACCCGCAGAACACTAACTCCACTAACTCCTGAGGCGCGAGAGACACCCGGGCACTGCGAGAACCCATCTCGCCGACTCCTCAGAGCTCCTGAAGCTTGGTGCTACCCGCAAGTCGCGAGTTTGTTCCGCCTACTGCCGGGGCCTCTCTCCAGCAGGGACGCTGAGGAAGCCTGGTACCTCTTGTCTGAGGGTGCGATTTCAACAACAAAAGACTCAAATGCAAGTCCTCTACCAGCCCGCTGCTCTGCAGGAGGCTTCCTAGGACTTCAGGAGAAATGCCCTACATGCCGCCCCAAGTGTAACTCCAGCAGCGGCGACTTACAGGGGCAGAGTTGTTTGGGCTTTAGGTAGATTTTCTGTTTCTTGCCTCGGAGACAGAGACCCTCTGGCTAGGGGCGGGGGAAGGCACTGGCCACATCCTCTTAAAAATGAGGAATCTTTGGCCCTCTTCCACTTCTGGTCTCCCACGGAGGGGTTCCGAGGCCTTAAATTAAGCACCTATCAGCTTAAGGTCCGATTCAAAAAACCTTTGATTCGCTTCCAATTTCTTCCCCCCAACTCCCTTTAAAATGTCAGTTTCCCCAGGGCTGCTAACTTTAAACAGGGACAGAGGAGAAGAAGTCTAGTTGCTTACTGTAAATCACACTGAACTGTGAGTGACTGATATCTAAGATCTTTATTTGCATTCTAAATCAGTTGCTACATCACCTCCAGGAATCAATCTCCAGTGATCTAAAGGAGGTGATATTTTAGTCTGGACAGACCTAGGGGACTTTCATTAATTACAGTGCACCAGGTAGGAAAGCGTTCTCACACCAACAGCCCCTCTGGAGAGATCTGAGACTGCCAGGACCCTGAAAACTTGGCGAGCTGTGGTGCCAGGACTGCCCTCCAGGACTCTCTGTTCCTCCTTTTGCTCCTTAGCTCAGTCCTTGTCATCATTGTTCCAGCGGACAATGAATTTCAAGTCATTTGAATTTGAATATCATGTAATTCACAAGATTCATGTTAAGAACTCTCATCTCTTTATTTGCTGAGTGGATTGTACATGTGTGAGCGTAAGAAAAAAAGATTTAGGTGCAGAAGATGCCGGGCAAGCACTTTCTGCCTCCATCAAAGGGCCTCTGACTGCCTTGGACTTGGCACCCTCACTGACCCAATGATGGAGGTGCTACTTGGGCGAGTAGCGTCTTTCCTGGCGCTGTGGGTTTGGGCTCGGGCCTGAAACCGAAGTGTTGGCGCTGGACCGGCTCAGAGTTTAAAAGAAAATAATACGAAGCTGGGGGTATAAAAATTGGGGCGTCAACAGGGAACCGGAGACTAGTTACTGCCCCCACCTAACCCCAGGCTGGGTGCTTGCAAGTGGTTGGGTAGGCGATGGGGACCTGCTTGGGAAGGGGCCTTAAGGTGGAAAAGAAGTCTAGCCATCCCCCCCACCCCAGGTCCTGAATCCCAGTTAAGTGGCTCTCAGCGAACTGGTGCTTGACCCTGAGGGAGTTGTGCTCTCTCGAGGAGGATGGACCACAGGCCCAGAACGATCCAGGGCGACTTCCTCAGATTCTCAGTCCTCTACGCACAAGTTCCTGCAATGGGCATCCTTTTATGTCCCCCTCAAAAACCCCAGACCTTGGTTTGGGTATGGGGAAGGGAGCGGGAACCCAGGCCAAACTGAGACCCAGAGGTGTCCGCCAAGTTTTCTCTATGCTACAAAGTGGAGGAGTTTCGCTACGCAGGTAGCCACGACCATTTCTAAACTTTTCCGCACTCTTGGGACCGAAAGAAAAGAAATTCATACGGGATCCCTGCTGGGAAGGAACTTCAGAAAAACTTTGTTTACCTGCCTGGCCGCACTTTACCCGGAACAGTAGAGACTGAAGGCCAGACCAGACAGCGGTGCGCTGCACTACTCGCCGCACCTAGGTGGAGGATCAGCCTATTGGTTCCATCTTGGGAGTTCTGATTCTATCGGTGTTTCAGGGCCTGGCCCTTCCTTCGAGCCCTGGCGATCCTGCAGGCGCAAGTTCGACAACAAGAATGGGGGGAAGCCGGCGAGAGACCCGCGTCCCAACTCTCGGAGGAGCTAGCTCTGCGCACCCACCTGGTCAGCGGATACATGGGAGCCCAGCGACTGGAGTGCAGTTAGGCGGCCCCGGGCTTCTCGCCACCCAACCAAGTCCCCCCGCAGGCTCGACTGCCGCCCCGCCCGGGGACATGAGGAGGAGGGAGGGAGGCGGGCGGGAATGGGCGGCCGGGGCGCTAGCCTCGGGTTCCCGTTCGCCCGGCACCCCCGTGGCGCGGCGAGTCAATGGGATTTGCACACTCGAGGTGTAACAGCATTACTGCATTAATTACCATTTCCATTTCACGTCCAGATTGTTTACTTATCTGCGGGAAACATATGTCGGGAGAAGTTCACATTCCGGATTCTGCTCCGCTGCCCAAGGTGCAATTCCGGGGAGGCGGCAAGGGGGGGAGGGGAGGGCTTCAGATTTTTTATTACACCCTCTCGCCTTATCTGCCGCTGTAA